ATAATAACACCAGACAGGAAGCAGGAGAAAATCTGCAACAAAAACACAGATAAATATATATATATCTGTTGGAAATGTTAAGCTTTCCTTATTGTAGTAAAATAGTATTTTATTTCCGTCTGCTTTGCTATTAGACATTTACATTAACTTCCTGTCTGGTAAAGCTAGTCTCACCAAACAGGTAGTAAGGGATCCCCAGATAGAAGAAAAAGCCCCCCAAAATTCTAAAGCTTTCCCACTCCAGCCAAAACCAAAATAAAAAATGTATTAGTGTGACATACACTTTAATAATTTACAATAGTAAACCTGAGTACCTGTAAGTGCTCCAGTCTGTCTTTTAGTGACTCCAACATTCTTTCCATTTGTGGAATTCCAGGTGGTGTCACCTCTGGTGGGTCTTCCATTGTGTTTGGTGGGGCACTTGGCTTGCGATAGGAGTCATGTGATGGTTGTTCCCGATACTCCCGGTGGGTGATATGATGATATTCGTGGTCTCTGTTATGCCCATGAATATCTTCATGCCCATGAGGATGCTCTCTCTCATGACCGTGTTCTCGCTCATATCCATGATCTCTTTCATGCCCATAGTCTCTTTCATGTCTTTCTTCCCATTCATGGCCATGCTCTCTCTTGTGTCCATGTTCTCTCTCATGGTGTTCCCATTCGTGGCCATGTTCTCGTTCATGTCCCTCTTCCCATTCATGGCCATGTTCCCTTTTGTGCCCGTGTTCTCGTTCATGTCCATGTCCATTTTCATGTGCATAGCTACTTTCATGTCCAAAGCTTTCTTCATGCCCATGTTCCCTTTCTTGTCCATGTTCAGAAGTATGACCAAAACCCTCTTCATGAACTCTGCTATGAGGGTACCCCTCACAACGGCTCAATTTCACAGTCAGCTCCCTAATAGTCTCCCTCTGATCTAAGATAGTCTCTTTTTGGTGAACCACTGTTTCACGAAGGTGAAGAATAGTTTCTTTTGCTTCTTCCTGCATACCCACCCAATGCCCCCCTCCAGCAGAACTATGACGTTGCACATTAGATTGGCAGTCCATATCCAAAGGCATCGGGGTGCAGACAAATTTTGGAAGAGAGTACTCCCCCCAACATATGTGCACCAAGGGAGTAAAGACTGTCAGTAAAAGTGAGAAAAGCTTCATTTTTTACCAAAGAGGTCACTCCTTTGTAGAAGATGGAATTTCTATCCCTTTTCTGACTGCCTCACCGTCTCTCTATGTGCAAGTTGTCCTTCTTAATTGACAAATGACATTCAGAGGGTTTAAAAATCTGATTTGCTGTGTGTTTCAAATGTCACCTCCCTCTGTAACGATGAAATCCTCTTCTGCTATTTCATGCCTATCTGGTTCCAGCAGCCTGGTTTGGAAAAGGTATTAGGTAGAAGACTAATGTTCTTAAATCTGCAGGAGGCCCCACCTACAGTCTCAGTGCCCTACATGCAGCAAGAGAAGATAAAAGACTTACTTTAAACATAGCTAATAAACTCAGGAGGACTTTAAGGAGATGATGCCCTGGTAAACTAGTACTGCCCTGGAGTCACTTCAAGTGAGTCAGTATAAATCTGTTGAGTTTAATAATCACCAGTTACTGTGGCCACAATCTAGTATACCTTACTTATGTTTACTTACATTAAAAAGAATAAAAACATTAAGTTAAAAGAAGGAAGAAAATAATAGTATCACATTTAAATAATAATTTTTTCTATATGTATTTATTTTTATTATACAATGCATTATACCATTTTAGAATTTGTCTATAGAAATAAAAATGAAAAAGTTCCAAAATGCACAATAGTTTGTCCATTTAAATGCAGGTATTTAATAAGGATATGTATCAGCATTTATTACACAAAGTCAGTGACAATTCCAACCAAACGATTCTTATGTACTTATTGGAAAACCTGACCAAACAGGTAGATACAAGGCTGAATACAAATGACTAAACAGGTAAATACAAGGCTGAAATACAAATGATTTTTCATTCTGTTTGGTGAGTCGTGTGATCCAGACACCCATACTAAACAGCTCAGTCAAGTCCTGCTTTCCTGCAGACCAAACTGAAGTTGAGCAATACAGCTTGTGAATGGACAATGAAGGAACAGTAGCACATTATTAAAGTATTTTCTGTGCTCATACTTCCTATAAACATAATCAGTGTTTGATAGACAGCACTTTACATAGGGGGTAGCATTGCTAATTAAAGCCTAGTTGCACCTTCATCTTTTCATAACAGTATGCAGTCTGCCAGTTGTAAGGGGGACAGGCTCAACTGGTACTGGCAGTGGTATACCATGCACTAGACAGGGACACCCAGAAACAGCCCAAGCATGTTTCCTCGCACCTTTGTTCAGCAAAATAGAAAAAAAAAAAAAAAAGCAAAACAGTTTTCAATGCAGGTGGGCTTTGTACAAAAAGTCCACAGCAAGCAAAACATCTGTTCATCCAAGCCACTAACTAAATTCTGGTCAGCTTACAGGATGCCCCCTAATGAGTTCCCCAAAACTGGCAGCATGTGTACCTGTTCTAGTGTTCTATCAGCACTCAGCAGTTTCACCCAGCAGCAGACGTCCACAGCTAAAAGAGCAAGAGAGAGAGAGCCCTAAGCATTTGAGCCCTGAGCACCCTTGAGACTAATAATGATACATGGCTACAAGGTAAGATGTGGACTTAGGAACTAATGCTTTATCCAACCAAAGAGTTCTTTAAAGCCTCTGGGCCCCAGGACCAATAACAGAACTTATTAACATTTAAAAGTTTGTTTTTTTCCACATCAGTCATAAACTCTGGAGCCCTTCACCATGTGTATGTGAGAATCCTTAAGTAGGTGACACATGCACACCCTCCAAATTCTTCCAGCCAATGTCTCACACCATAGACAGAAAATGATCATAGCAGACAAATACCAAACAAAAGATCAATTGGAAAGAAAGAATAAGTATTATTCTCAGCTGATTAAAGTGCACCTGTACTGAGAGAAACATTTAGGCTGCAATTGCTGACATCCCTCTGAAAGTAATGGTTACCTGGTTATCTCTGGCTTCAGTACTATAGGTCACTATTCTGGTACAAGCATAGAAATGCTGAAGTGGCAGCACAGTGGTTAAGTGGCTAGCACGTGTGCCTAGGAGCTCTAGGGTCATTGGCTCAAATCCCAACCATGTCACTACTATTGAGTTTGCCTGTTCTTCCTGTACCTGTGTGGGTTTCCTCTGGGAACTCTGATTTCCTCCCACACTCTTAAAGACATGTTGGTAAGTTAGTGGTTCATGTCTAAGTTGGCCCTAGTATGTGTAACTATGAATGTGAGTTATAGGGACCTTAGACTGTATGCTCGAGGGCAGGAACTGAAGTGAATGTATATATAACTTGTTGCTGCTATACAAGACACCTGAAATAAATAGGTCAGGCTGCATCCAGAACTCCTGATGTGCATTACTGTCCTCAGCCAGTGATGCAAAAAAGTATTTTAAAACATTCACTCAAAAAGGATGCTAGCCAACAAGCAACTTTAGAGACAGATGTTGGTAATGTCATTCTAAGTGTTTCTTCAGTACAGCCTTCCATTCAAGGACAGTTCACCCAAAACTGATATTTCAGCTTTCTACACATGCTAGAAATTAAACTACCTAACATTTTTATATATCTTGGGGTCTGTATTGGTGAAAATTCTATACTCGAGTTCTTAGGTCTTCAAACCTGATGTGGCCATTATGAGACACTTTTTTACCTGTTTGATTTTTTAAATTTATTATATATTACTGAAAATACCATAGGTACTGTTGGAACATGGAAGGGTGGGTGGGAATGCCCAAGACAAGAACATAACCAGAAGTTATGGCAGGGAAATCTTGCTGTTGAGGTATCCAAGACATGCAAGAAGACAGAGGATGCCTGTAGCCTCTATTTATAATTGAAATATTTATTCTGAGTGGTCACTTTAAATACTGATCACTTGGAACTCACGATTTTAAGGTGAAGACATTATGGTTATGGTTGCTCTGTAGACAGCTAAATAAAAATGCCTGTAAAAGCAGATATCGGAGTGCGGCTATCATTCATCTATATCTTCTACTTGGGAGCAAAGTCTGGCTTTTAGAGCCAGCACCCTGGTTGTCCACAGACAGTAAGATGCACATGTCTCAACTACATGTATCAATTCAATATTAAATCTACACAATAAATAAAAGAGATATGTACTGTATATATATATATATATATATATATATATATGCACAGTATCTCACAGAAGTGGATACACCCCTCACATTTTTGTAAGTATATTATTATATCTTTTCATGTGACATCACTGCTGAAATTACACTTTGCTACAATGTAAAGTAGTGAGTGTACAGCTTGTATAGCAGTAAAATTTGCTGTCCCCTCAAAATAACTCAACACACAGCCATTAATGTCTAAATGGCTGGAAACAAAAATGAGTACACCCCTAAGTGAAAATGTCCAAATTGGGCCCAAAGTGTCAATATTTTGTGTAGCCACCATTATTTTCCAGCACTGCCTTACCCCTCTTGGGCATGGAGTTCACCTGAGCTTCACAGATTGCCACTGGAATCCTCTTCCACTCCTCCATGACGACATCACGGAGCTGGTGGATGTTAGAGACCTTGCGCTCCTCCACCTTTTGTTTGAGGATGCTCCACAGATGCTCAATAGGTTTAGGTCTGGAGACATGCTTGGCCAGTCCATCACCATTACCATCAGCTTCTTTAGCAAGACAGTGGTCATCTTGGAGTTGTGTTTGGGGTTACTATCATGTTAGAATACTGCCCTGTGGCCCAGTCTCCGAAGGGAGGGGATCATGCTCTGCTTCAGTATGTCACAGTACATGTTGGCATTCATGGTTCCCTCAATGAACTGTAGCTCCCCAGTGCTGGCAGCACTCATGCAGCCCCAGACCATGACACACCCACCACCATGCTTGACTGTAGGCAAGACACAATTATCTTTGTACTCCTTACCTGGTTGCCGCCACACACGCTTTACACCATCTGAAACAATTAAGTTTATCTTGGTCTCATGAGACCACAGGACATGGTTCGGGTAATCCATGTCTTTAGTCAAACTGTTGGCAGGCTTTCTTGTGCATCATCTTTAGAAGAGGCTTCCTTCTGGGATGACAGCTATGCAGACCAATTTGATTGGTCTGAGCACTGGCAGGCTGACCCCCCATCCCTTCAGCCTCTGCAGCAATGCTGGCAGCACTCATACGTCTATTTCCCAAAGACAACCTCTGGATATGACGCTGAGCACGTGCACCCAACTTCTTTGGTCAACCATGGCGAGGCCTGTTCTGAGTTGAACCTGTCCTGTTAAACCACTGTATGGTCTTGCAGCTCAATTTCAGGGTCTTGGCAATCTTCGTATAGCCTAGGCCATCTTTGTGTAGAGCAACAATTCTTTTTTTCATATCCTCAGAGAGTTCTTAGCTATGAGGTGCCATGTTGAACTTCCAGTGACCAGTATGAGAGAGTGAGAGCGATAACACCAAATTTAACACACCGGCTCCCCATTCACACCTGAGACCTTGTAACACTAACGAGTCACATGACACCGGGGAGGGAAAATGGCTAATTGGGCCCAATTTGGACATTTTCACTTAGGGGTGTACTCACTTTTGTTGCCAGCCGTTTAGACATTAATGGCTGTCTGTTGAGTTATTTTGAGGGGACAGCAAATTTACACTGTTATACCAGTTGTACACTCATTACTTTACATTGTAGCAAAGTGTCATTTCTTCAGTGTTGTCACATGAAAAGATATAATAAAATATATATACAAAAATGTGAGGGGTGTACTCACTTCTGTGAGATATTGTATATATACAGCGCCTTGAAAAAGTTTGCATACCCCTTGAAATTTTCCAAGTTTTGTCATGTTACAACCAAAAATGTAATTGGATTTTATTGGGATTTTATGTGATAGACCAACACAAAGTGGTACAAAATTGTGAAGTGGAAGAAAAATGATGAATGGTTTTCAACATTTTTTTTACAAATAAGTGAAAAGTGTGGCGTGCATTTGTATTCAGCCCTCCTGAGTCAATACATTGTAGAACCACCTTTAGCTACAATTACAGCTGCAAGTCTTTTTGGGGATGTCTCTACCAGCTTTGCACATCTAGAGAGTGACATTTTTGCCCATTCTTTGCAAAACAACTCAAGCTCTGTCAGACTGAGCGTCTGTGAACAGAAAATTTCAAGTCTAGTCACAGATTCTCAATCGGATTTAGGTCTAAACTTTGACTGGGCCATTCTAACACATGAACATGCTTTGATCTAAACCATTCCATCGTAGCTCTGGCTATACAGTATGTTTAGGGTTGTTGTCCTGCTGGAAGGTGAACCTCCGCCCCAGTCTCAGGTCTTTTGCAGACTCTAAGATGGTTTCTTATAAGATTGCCCTGTATTTGGCTGCATCAATCTTCACATCAACTCTGATCAGCTTCAGTGTCCCTGCTGAAGAAATGCATCCCAATAACATGATGCTGTCACCGCCCATGTTTCACGGTGGGGATGGTGTGTTCAGGGTTATGTGCAGTGTTAGTTTTCCGCCACGTTTGCTGTGTCCCCCACATGGCTTCTCGCAAACTGCAAATGGGACTTCTTATGGTTTTCTTTCAACAATGGCTTTCTCTTCCATAAAGGCCAGATTTGTGGAGTGCACAACTAATAGTTGTCCTGTGGACAGATTCACCCACCTGAGTTGTGAATATCTGCATCTCCTCCAGAGTTACCATGGGCCTCTTGGCTGCTTCTCTGATGAATGCTCCCCTTGCCCTGCCTGTCAGTTTAGGTGGAAGGCCATGTCTTGGTAGGTTTGCAGTTGTGCTATACTCTTTCCATTTTCAGATGATGGATTGAACAGTGCTCCGTGAGATGTTCAAAGCTTGGGGTTTTTTTTAATAACCTAACCCTGCTTTAAACTCACCCACAACTTTATCTCTGACCTGTCTGGTGTGGTACTTGGTCTTCATGAAGCTGTTTGTTCACTAATGTTCTCTAACAAACCTCTGAGGCTTCACAGAAAAGCTCTATTTATACTGAGATTAAATTACACACAGGTGGACTCTATTTACTAATTAGGCGACTTCTGAAGGCAATTGGTTCCAATAGATTTTAGTTGTCACACTTGTTGCATGTCACACTTTTCAGATATTTATTTGTAAAAAATGTTGAAAACCATTTATCATTTTCCTTCCACTTTGCAAATATGTGCCACTTTATGTTGATCTGTCACATAAAAGCCCAATAAAATACATTTATGTTTCTTGGTTGTAACATGACAAAATGTGGCAAATTTTAAGGGGTATGAACACTTTTTCAAGGCACTGTATATATATATTGGGACATGGGGGATGATTAGCTCTAGTGGTAGATGCTTTTCAAGTGAGTCCACGCTAGTCAGAAACTCTTTTTCAGGGCTTGGTAGCCCACTTTTATTAAAAGGCAAGAAACAAAAACACAAAAGTCCAAAATAAGCTTTCCCACACAGGGGTACTTCTCCAGTTGTAAATCCACACGAAAAATGCTAAGCCTCCTGGCTACTCCTTATTAGCACTGCTGGTCATCAGTACCTCTGCTGGTGTGGGTCTCCCAGACTCCTGGCTATTCCTGGCACACAGCCTTGAGCCCTTTTGATGCAAATCTACGCTCTGCCATTCTGCACTCCGCACATGTGCAGACACTGTGTCCATTACTTGACCACTTTTACCTATTTTTATCCTGTGACAGGGCTCTGCACTGTTACTATATATATATATATATATATATATATATATATATATATAGTATATATATATAGTATTACAAAGACATTTCTCACACTGACATTTCCCAAACTGAAACTTACCTATAGCTGTGCTGCATTATGCTTTTTGCTGGGTTTTGATCCTGTGCTGCAAGGACTACAGTATATCTATGAAGTGTGTACTTTGAGTAGACTAAGGCTGGCCATACATTATACAATTATCTGGAGATTTTTGGTTTAGATTTACCAAAAACCATATAATAGGAGGACAAACCTAAACAACACTTTCAGTTGTAGCCAATTAGGCAGGCCCTTGCACTACACAGTTGAAGGTAAATCTAAAGGAAATTGGGCAGAAAATTGGAAGATAATTGTATAATGTATGGCTAGCCTTAGACTATGATAAACTATGTTCCTCTGGGCCACATCTAATGTCCATTGCAGTTTAGCCACACTCACCTTGTACAGCAGTGAATTGAGCACACCTCATCTTTCTCCGTTCGAGTTTTCAAGTGCTGAGGTTAGGGTTATGTCTGAAAGACTCTTGCTTGTGGCACAATAATTAAAGTGGTCATTTCTCTTTGCTGCCTCCTTCTGCTGTTATCAGCATGAGTCACTTCTGGCAACTTTTCTCAACACCCAGATTTAAAAACGCAACAGGCGAGAGAGCTGCAGCACACAGCCTGTGACTCATAGAGCTGCGCTTGTTCATTGTGCTATGTGAAGGGTGTGTTCCTTCCCTCCAATCAGAGCTCTGTTTTTAGATCGATTTACAGAAGAAATGGCTGCAGATACACAGCTACAACTTATGTAGGAGGATTTGTTTCATCTCTGTGTATCACCTAATGCTGGTCACTTCACTGGGTAAATGTGAGGGTTTACAACCACTCTAGATTATTTTTTTTCAGTTGAAGTACTGTAAACCATGTATGTATTTATAATAGATTTGTTCAAAGTAATTTCAGCACCAGGTGCAAAAAAAAGTCATCCTCCCCCCATCTTGTTCATTTTGTTTTTTTTTTTTTTTTGCAAGACAAAAGGTTCTGCAATAAGCCCTAGTCTACTAAACAACAAAACAAGAAAGGTGCACCAGCCTCATGAATTACCTCTTATATCATTTATTGTGTGAAACAAGCATAAGTAGTATACTCACAAACCAACTTTTATATGTCATGAGTCATACTCAGAAAATCACTAGAAATGTATGCTGTCATTCTTATCTTGTCCCATTGGCCAAGTGTTGAGGCCATTCTTATTGTTAACTGCATTCTCGTATGAAAAAACCCCCCAAAAAAGCCAGGAGACTTTTCCCCCTCTCCCCATTATTGACAAAATCCCTCAAGAAGAAAGCTGCAGACCTCTCTTTTCTCCACTCAATTCTGTTCCTATTTCCCTTCATTCCAATGTATCCCTTTACACACTCTATGCTTGCCCTCTCTCTGTATTTAAAAGTTGGAAAAAACTGGGTAGCATCATACTGTTGTATGTTTTGCTACATTGCATATGGCCTGATATTTCACCCATCCAATCACTTTTTATATAAACGCTGATTGTCATTTATTTTTCTTGAGATGTTTGTTTGCACTTTGGCTTACGTTGTACATGATGGCTTTTGACCTTAACAGAACTGAATTTCAATGTGTCTGTTTGTTATGATACATACCTTTTAAAATAAAGAATTAAAAAAAAGAGGCAGGAGACCAGACACACACACTGGCAATAGAGCAGACGTAGGCAACACTCCATGGCAGATTCAGGCACTAACGCATTTTGAGGGCCATACCCTCTTCATCAGAGCTCAAGGCTGGTCTCCTGGCAATTTTTGTGAGTCTATGATCAAGTTGGTTTGTGGGTATACTACTTACACACAATAAACGGCACCCGAGGTAATGCACGAGGCTGGTGAGCCTTTCTTGTCCTGTAATTTAGCTTTCAGGATTCCCCCAATCTGCAGAGGGCAGAAAGGCCCTGATATTTTCCTGGCCAACTGTTGAAGCATGAAGCCAACAAGATATTATAGGACTGTCATGTGTGCCTATTAATTGACGCTTTAGTGCTGAATTCATACACTTTCCTTTGAGCCTTGCTCTGCCCCTGTCACTTATTTTGCCAGAACAAAGTTGGCATGCCTAGGATGATCACATGACTTTGACAATTCAAGTGACATGACAGAGCCCCACTCCCAGATTTTTTTTTTCCTTTCACTGCTTCCCGTCTGCCCTATAGCAGAAATACTGCTACGGGGCAGCACGGGTGTGCAAAATAACGTATATATACGTGATTTGGCAGTTCCAGGTAGGGGGTGCACGTGCCTTACCCGCACCACCATTTGTGGCCTCGGCTATCAATCAACGGGTCCTGGCCGGTGATTACTCGCCGGCACCCAGTGATCGCCGAGTATTGCCAATGAGGAAGAGAACTGTATGTAAACAATATAGTTCTCTTCTCTGTCAGCTCCTGCACACTGCTTTGTATGGCTCTGCATAGCAGTGTGCTTACAGATGAAAGCACATACAGCACATAATGTGAAACAGCACACAGTTAACCCTTTGATCGCACCAGATGTTAACCCCTTCCTGCCCAGTGCCATTAGTACAGTGTCACTGCTTTTTATTAGCACTGATTACTGTATT